AGACAGGGTCGACAGACAGAGGGGCTGAAACTTGTTCCAGCTGTCAAGAGTATACCCCGCCGGTGAAGTCCCGTCCGGGCACACGGGCTCTCCAGACCCACGCTTACGTGTTGAAAAGATAGAATCAATTGCGTTGAGGGACCAGTTAATCATTTCCATTCTGTTAAAGTTGTCTGTGGCAAAACTCCAGGAAAAAGATAAAAACAGGAGATAGCAAGCAGTCAGAAGCAGGAGCGTCTGAGACACGTCTTTGCTCGACGGAGGCGGAAGAGATAGAGGTGCAAAGAGCAGGTGCATTTATACGGAGACTTGATTACACACAGGTGCATTCTATTTATCATCATCAGTCATTTAGGACAACATTGGATCATTCAAAGATCCTCACTGAACTTCTGGAGTGAGTTTGCTGTACTGAAAGTAAAGGGCCGAATAATATTGCACGCCTCACTTTTTAGTTTTTTATTTGTTAAAAAAGTTTAAATTATCCAATAAATTTCGTTCCACTTCACGATTGTGTCCCACTTGTTGTTGATTCATGGCAAAAAAATTTAATTTTATATCTTTATGTTTGAAGCCTGAAATGTGGCAAAATGTTGAAAGGTTCAAGGGGGCCGAATACTTTCGCAAGGCACTGTACATGTAGTTCTATCGTCAGTTGGTTGTGTTTACATCTAAAAGCACAAGAAAGAAAAATGCATTGCTTTTTTGTTACATGAAAAAATCTTTTCCTTACTTTCAAAATGTCTGAAATTGGTGATTTTTGTAGCGATTAAAACCATCGATGGGCTGGAAAAAAGAGACAGGTCATGCTCGCAACAGGTAATCTAATAGGAGGGCGTTATTTGATGCCCACTTTTTTGAGAAGACTACCCACAATGCCGTGCGGTCGAGCCGGAAGCTCGAAAATCTTGATCCCTATATTGGCCCGGGGTGGTATTGCGAGCATGTCAGCGCACGTCATTTTGGCCACTTTTGAGCCGAAACCCACCCCCACTGGTCAGCCGGCACAAGCCCCATTTATTTAACAAACAATAAAATACTTGAAACAAAAACAAAAAAAAACGATTTTAACCTTTGAGGTTTTAAAGTTTTAGGTTTTGGTTTGAAGTATGCAGTTGCTAAAAAAAAATCAATCTGTTTTCAAAGCAACAAAACCATAAGCCAAATAAGGGTGTCCACTTGTACGGGAAAAAATGTCAATGAAAAAACAATATATATATGGAAAGGTCCTGCAAGTTAGAAGAAAAAAAACTGACCGCTGATGTTGGGAATTCTCCGTTTTTGGCTGTAAAGCCGTTTTTGAGAGGAAATAAAGTGTTAGAATGAACTGGATAATTCTGGTTTGGGATTCCGGGTTACCCAAAGATGAGCTGGAAATGACCGCGAGTAATATCAAACTCCTCGTGAGCGCTGAGTTGCATCGTTGCTCGAATTTGCATCGTTGCTCGAATTTGCTCTTTAATGGCGTCGCTGCTTGTGTTACTGTTGCTCACCTGCCAATCGCAGTATAAAGCTCGCCCTGACACTCTGATTGGTCCGGTTCGTTTCATACCACCCATAATAGTTTGCCAACGAGGGTACTCATTGGCTTTTCGCAGCCCCAAAAAAGCACCAAGCACCCGATTCCTGTTAAATTTCAAAACAACAAAACATGTGCAGCGAGGGGCTATGTAGTGATCCCAAACAACAGGAGTGACTGCCTTAGCTCCGTCAAAAACATACATTTCTAGTACAAGTTTGGCTTTTCCCTCTGCTCTTAAATGCATCACTGCCCCATGTCTCATTCCATTCCGACATGTTTACATGCTGCTCAACTGAACTAGAATCGGCGCCCATCCACACCTCCAAACAAGCAGTTTTTCACAATTAAATTGGCGAACACAGGTTTACATGTGGCTTTATCAGTTGCATTAAAGTGGAGAGTTTGGTTTTCACTAGTGCTTTGTGAACAAACTCAATGATTTCATAATTTGACATCTACATACATTGAAAATAAAAATCATCTGGCCTTTTTGAGAGATCATTACTGTATTTGTGAGACTCACCAGCAAAAAATGTATTTGTTTCATGTGATTCTGTAATTCCTTTATTCACCCACATACATCAGTTTGTAAAAAGTAATCAAAAGTGCATCAACTTTTGTTTTTAACTTTGAGAAGAAGTCGTGTAATTTTGTGTATACTCTATAGGCTTATGTACAAACCATGCCTTACAAATAGCCTTTGGATATGGTCTTGTTTTTCTTGTCTAACCTGTTGTCAACAAACAAAAACATTTTGAGTTCTGTGTTGTTTAATAGTTTTTGAGTAATATTTATTCAGTGTTTTTGCCTTGTTGGGTGCCACAAGAGAAGACGACAGAGCTGATAAGGAACTTTTAGCCTTTGGGACCTTGCACAAACCCAAAAAACAAAGAAAAACAATATGTGCTCCAAAGCCACCTGTTATACAACATAAGAAAAAAAACAAAAATGAGTAATGTTTTCTTTTTTCCTTTCTGAAGGATACAGGTTCAGTCTGTTGCCGAGGCTTTAACATATAACAATTTATCAATGTATAACTATTAAAGCAATGTAAAGAAGTGATAAAGATTTAAACTGACCTAGTTTACTATAGTCTTGTTATTGGATAATGTCTTCACTTTGCCCAGGGGGTAAAGTGATCGCTGGTGTCTGTGTGTCTGTTTGTTTGTCTGTGAGAAACATGTAACAGAAAAAGTAATGGGAAAATTTGGACGAAATTTTCCGGAACCATGTGACCCAGTGAACAAGACAATTTTGGATCCGATTTTCTTCAAGGATCAGAACTGTGGATCAAGGCAGAAGTCTGCGCTCTGAGTGCTGTTCTAGTTCTTCTTTGCAGACCGTTTGTTACATACTGGTAAAGAGATGAGGCGATTTTTAAAACTCTACGTCCATCTTGTGGACAAAAGATGAAATTACAACTCAATTCTGATAAATACATTTTATCTGTTTTAAGTGAAACATATTCGTATTTGAAGGAACCATTGCATACTAATTGTATTTAATATTAAATATGCCAGAAAGAAAATCCATAAGTCTGTATTTATTGTGTTTGTTTGTACTACTTTTTGCATTACACGCTCACTTATGTTTGAGCGACACAACTTTGAGGGACAGTATCTAAAAGTCAGACAGTCTTTGAGTTACTCTACTTTTTCCATATGTGAAAACGTCCTATAGCATTTAGCCTTTTTCCTGACCAACCAGAAAACATTTCACAATAGTTACAAATAATTTACAAACTGATCTTAATTTCAATGCTGTATTTCATAACCAACAACCACAACAACCCTGGCTGGTTAGGCTTTAGAGTGACCAGCGTTTTAGTGGACTGAGCAAATCAATTAGTTGGATTTGTTCATTTGAATACTAATTCATTACAGGTAAATCTCCATGTATCTTGAGCTTCACTTTTGTTCTTTACAGTTACTTGCTAGTTTGAAAGTGGTTACATAGTACAGAATATTTAATAGGTACAGAAAATTACTATTTCATAGTTTTTTTTCCTGATATTCTGCTTACCAGGTCTACAGAATGTATCCCTGCGGCCCTGCCTCTCTCTCCCTGTCTCTCTCCTCTTGTCTCTCCCCGTACCTCTCTCCCTTAACTTTTTTCTTTACATATATATATATTTATACATATAGTGCATTGAATCATAAAGTTCATTGTGATAGAAGAAACATGTCCCATAAGAAATTTTTATTGAAATATAAATCATCTGAATGTACATGTGGTAAAATACTGAATCATAGTAGTGAAACGTTGTATTGGGCAAATACTTACAATTATAAACACTGTACCATAAACACACATCACACACACACACACACGCACTCTCTCACATCCTCTTTTTACACAAAGGAGTATTCTCCAGCTTAAGCTTTTAAAGCTCTCTGTCTAATACTATTTGGCAACATCAAAATCCGACTGTAAGAACATAAAAAGTGCAATAGTTGATTGCAGATGACATCACATTGACACATCATGAGAGGCAGTGGCGGAGCTGGTACAGTAGCTGCTCAACTACAAGGAACTAAATACTGACACCAGGTCATTGCAATTACGGTTAATATTGCTAATCTTAATAAAGACAAATAGCTGGCTTTGGTCCTTCAATAATCTGATAGTTTGTTAATCTGGTAAAATGCAAAAAATCCCTTTTAAGTGTTCCCTTAAAGCTAACAAGAAGACGTTTACAGGTTGGAGATACGTAATATGTGCTTTACAAATTTGAGAGTAATCCCAATACTCATCTCATATAAAGAAACTCTGGATCTATTTACAATACAATCACATTTCATTTGGGAAGGTCCGTACGCTGACGCCATGTTCGGGCATTACATCTGAGCACAAAGGTAGAGACATAACGCAAAGAAGCTTACAAAGGTATTTTCATAACAGTACCTTCTATTTCCACAACTATGGTCAAACATACCTACTCAATAATGCATAATGAAGTATAAAAATAAAACTTGGAATACTGCATTTTGTAGCTACAATAGACATTGTAAAAATGAAAAACACCACACCCAAAGTTGTGCTTTTGACTCTGATCCACTGATTGTGCCAGCATCTTGTGATTCAAAAAGGCAAGTTGTGGTCAAATGTTGTACCTGCCAACTGTCTCTAGTGGTTTTCTATGGCTAAATCCGATCTTCTTGTGGCACGTTTCATTCGTCCCTTTTTTGTTTATGCTGCTGTTAACAAAAAATGCCCAATGTAGTAAAGCTCTAGCATACAAAAGTCAATGCGTTTTGCCGCTTTGTCTGAAGTTGTTGGTCAGATTTGCAAGTGAGTGTCTTTACTGCTCCGTTCACATCTCCAAAGCCCAGTAGGGGGCAGTGTCCAGGGAGGTGCCAGAGCGTACGCAAGCATCACGGCCTATTTCTGGCAGTGAGGAGGCTTGCATTGTCCTCAGAATAAGTCCATAAGAGGAGAAAAGGATTTGGAGTCTTTGGTTTTGTCCCATAGGCTCTGGTCACAGGAAGCTGTCCTCCACCAGGTCGCTACAGTCTAGACACATCTCGTCCAAAAGCGTGATGTCCTCCAAAGTCTCGCCCTCGCGCTTCGGTAAGGTCGAGCTGCTGGAGCCCGTCTCGATAGCACTTTCTTCAGATGTTTGAGAACTGCAAAAAAAAAGAAAAAAAAACACTCAAAATTCAATACCAAAGTAAATGAGATTAAGTCAGAAATTGGTCTTGGGAGTAACATGGTCCTAGGTCGGTCAAGTTCATAAGTAAATTAACTTGATATTGTCTTGGTGGAACATCTATTGTTTACATTAAATGAGAGATTGTTGTGATTTTTCTTTCCTAATCTCTGTCATCAGTGACAGCTTAGCGGAGTCTCCCGTTTTGATTCTAGTTTTACGCCACGTTCACTTCAACTAATTTCCATTCAATTAATTTTGGTACAACCCCACATCCCAACGCCAGTCGTCTTAGGACAAAGTGTCCTATCACAACTATGCAGACGACACTCAGATCTATGTCTCACTGACTGCAGGAGAACATGGACCAGTGGACTCACTCCTTCACTGTATCCAACAGATCAGTGAGTGGATGCAAAACAACTTCCTTCAGCTAAACGCAGACAAAACTGAAATGATTGTCTTTGGTCCCCAGAAACAAAGAGAGAGCGTCATCTGTCACCTACAGTCTCTCTCCCTAAAACCTTCAAACAAGGTCAGAAATCTAGGGGTAATACTGGACTCAGACTTAAATTTTAATAGCCACATCAAATCAGTAACATCAGCAGCTTTTGACCATCTAAAAAACATTGCCAGGATCAAAAACATAGTGTCTAAAGCAGACTTGGAGATTCTTATCCAAATATCCATGCATTTGTCTCCAGTAGGTTAGACTACTGCAATGGCCTGCTCACAGGTCTGTCCAAACAGGCTGTAAAACAGCTGCAGTACATTCAAAATGCAGCAGCTCGAGTCCTGACTAGAACCAGGAAGTACGACCACATTAGTCCGGTCCTCAGGTCCCTGCACTGGCTTCCTGTGGCTCAGAGAATAGACTTTAAAACAGCTCTGCTTGTGTACAAGTCTCTCCATGGCCTCGCACCAAACTATATTAGTGACATGTTAGTACCATATGAACCAGCCCGGACTCTGAGGAGCACAGGGACTGGACTCCTGTTAGTGCCCAGAGTCAGAACTAAACATGGGGAGGCTGCTTTTCAGATTCATGCTGCTAAAATCTGGAACAGTCTTCCTGAAGATGTGAGACAGGCCTCCTCTCTGACAATGTTTAAGACAAGGTTGAAAACAGTTCTGTTTAGCTGTGCATACAACTGAGGAATTTTATATTTTTATCTTTTTTTTAATGTACTGTGATTATTTATGATTTTAATGCTTTCTTGTTCTGTTCAGCACTTTGAATTGCCTTGTGTATGAATTGTGCTATATAAATAAACTTGCCTTGCCTTGCCTTGCCTTGCCTTAGTTGCTGATTTGCCGACAACAGATCAGAGAATCAAACTACTAACACTTGTTGGTCTGGTGTGGACTTTAACTGGACCGATTCTGGTTTTGTTGGGGCAAAAACGATTTACACTATTTTGTGGATTTGAAACCACAAAACCAGTGAACATGTGTCCACTAGTTACTGAAGCTGGGGTATGTTTTGGTCATAAATAATACATGGGTTTGTCTTTGAGCTGAGAGCTGATTGGCTGAGGGAGGTCTCTTTGAAATTGCTTTTGGGACAGAGGCCAAAAATACATCCATGTTAAAAATACCAATAATACTATAACCTGTTTTTCAAGCTAGGAACTATGCTTGTGGTTTGGTACCCCAGCTTTAAATTAGATCTGTGAACACATTTCCGCCCCACAAGCAAACCAGACTCCGTCCAGTAAAAGACTACCAGACCAATAATTGTGAGCGCACCCTTAGTATTGATGTATTGCTGCGTGTGTATTCACCTGTGCCTGTTCCTCTTGCCGTAGTCGTCGAGGGAGATGGGGTCCAGGTCCGGGAGGGGGATGATGTAGCCGCTGTCGGAGCTGAGGCGCTGCTCGTCGAAGCCGCTCTCCCGGTCCTTCAGTTTGCCCTGGTTTTTGTAAGCGATGCCGATGTAGTCGTCGCTCTCCGTGCACACGCGGGTCACAGCCGGGTGGTCGCTCTTCAAGAACTCACGGTTGACTCTTTCGTAATGCTGCGAGGCAACAAAATCAAATCCGTTCATTTTCGTACAGACAAAAAATCCTCTCCGAGTACTTTAATACTTAGCAAATTAGATAATCAAATGAGGAAATATATGGATAAATGTCTCAGAGAATCCGTTGTCCTTGGACCCTTCTTCTGAACTAAACATGGGGAGGCAGCTTTTCAGATTCATGCTGCTAAAATCTGGAACAGTCTTCCTGAATATGTGAGACAGGCCTCCTCTCTGACAATGTTTAAAACCAGGTTAAAGACAGTTCTGTTTAGCTGTGCATACAACTGAGGGATTTTATATTTTTATCTTTCTTTTTAATGTTCTGTGATTATTTAGGATTTTAATGCTTTCTTATTTTCTTCAGCACTTTGAATTGCCTTGTGTATGAATTGTGCTATACAAATAAACTTGCCTTGCCTAGGCTGGCCGAACAGCAAAAATAAAAAAAACTAACTTGGAAAGCCGGGTAAAGCTGGAGCACCTAACTTTCAAAACTCAACAATAAAACTATGTAAAATAGTCCATGAAAAAGTCTGAGAAAGTCAAAAAGAGAGGACAACTCTCACTCAGACATTCAGCTCTCATCCCATAGCGTCAAATAGTGACTCACAGGGCTCTTTCTATGTATGCCAAAAGATAATAATAATGTTTTACAGTATGTTATGGTAAAATTTGTTGACAGGGTTTTACTTTTACAAGACTCTTTCAGTGGAACAAACAACATGGAGTGTTTATGAAGCAAAAAAATTGAGGGACTCCAGCTTTAAAAGGAAAACAATGGATAAAAACTGTTGGATCACTGCTGAAAAATACTTTATGGGCTGTAAATGTTGCAATTCTCCATGGCTTTACTCTTGTTGTACATACTTCATGGTGTAACATGATGTGACTCTCTTTAGTGTTTATAACAATCAATATATGAATAGTATAATAGCACAAATTAAATAAAATAAAATAAAAAATAAGACTAAGATTAAGCATGACGGAAAAAAATAGAGGTGTGACGAGACACGTGTGAAGTGAATGCTCATTGTTTGGCCTTTTTAACCGACACTCTTCGCTGATAACCTGGCAATCGCGCACACTTTGCCTGAGGTGCTAAAATAGGAGCGGGTGGTGCTCTGAAGGGCTGTTTTAAAGTGCCATGTGTTCTTTTAATGGGCTCGTTTAGGATAGGGAGTGTGGAGTGGGGAGTGGGGAGCAGGGGACGGGGGGGACCTGCGTCACTACCTACTGAGGCTGGTTACTCTGACACAGCTGCACTCTCAACCTTGTGTGATGCAGAAACATAGTTCTGCTAAACAACAGGAGGACTCCTCTGCAGCTAAAGCAGGAAGTGGAAAACTTAAAGTAGCAATGTGTAAGATTTGCATGTCAAGCCATCATTAAATGGCCCTGATATGTCAAAAGGCATTAATAAACCATGCTCTTTTCTAATACCCCTTTAACTGATAAAAGTAGTTCAGCCGAGATAATTGGATTTCAAAATGAGCCCCTATCTTGTTAATGTTTTCATTTCGATGTCCCACCCTCCACAGTTTTACCAACCGGAAAGTCTGTGATCCGGGTTGCCAGAACTCACCACGTCGAGCTAATCTCACTGGTAAAGTAACATTTGGCCTCAGAACCAGGATTTCTATCGAGGACTTTGTGAAAAAAGTGTTGTTTATAGATTTGTTGTTGGCAAAACTCTTGTCTATCCAGTTTATTATGTTCCCAGGTTGATTTTGTCGGCATATCTGGCAACCTGAGTCAGGGAGAGGTTGCAGTACCACTTAGGCCCAGATTTTTTACATACTGCTCCTTTAGTGATCGACTCATACAGTACTGGTTATAAAGTCCATTCAGGTCAGCAACTTGGGCCGTCACAGAAAGGCAACAAGAGAAGAGCAGAAAGAAATTCAAGCTCAATAGCAAGCTGTGAGAACAAATATACAGGGTCAGTCTAAAACACACAAGCCCAGGGGATGCATCACCTGACCGATGGAGAGGAGGATAATGCTTTAAAAACAACGTGCTTGGCCTAAGATTGTTGAGCTCATGGGTGGTGGAAATAAGAGGTCACAGGAGGACTCACTCTCTTGTAGCTGGAGGGCAGAAGAGTAGAAACTGTATCACTCAGACCCAGGAAGGACGGCCTCTTCTCCGGTTCACTGTTCCAGCATTTCATCATCACCTCATACCTGCATTAAACAGAGACATTAGAGCAAGAACAGAACAACCTGTGCCTCATGAATTCACAGTGACGCACGGCAGTCGAATTACACTGCAAGAGTTTCCATTAGATATGTAGTTAGTGGAGACCTAGTGTGGATCTAAACAAGGCTTCACTTACACATCATGAGGAGCATGCTCTGGTTTGGACATCCTGTAACCGCTCTTTATCTTGTTGTAGAAGCTGGAGTCAACCACCATCCCTGGGTATGGAGTGCCCCCTGTAGGCCACAGCGATTACACATCACTGTCTGAAATAACTGAGAATGCTGTTTTTCCTGCTTGACATTTTACATATGGTCAACATTTTAAAATGTTGTGCATAAATTAGGTATTTCACAAGACTTTATTTAAGAATGAAATAATTGGTGACATAAAAATAACATTGAACTTTGCACAATAGTCACATTGCTAAAAGATGAGCAGAAATGATTATTTTTTAATGAGATATTTGAAATGATTTGAAATGCCCACCTAAGGAGAAGATCTCCCAGAGGAGTATGCCATAGGACCAAACATCACTGAGAGTAGTGTACATGTTATCAAAGATGCTCTCTGGAGCCATCCACTTTACTGGAAGGAAGGTCTATGGAACAAAGCAATAAAAGTCACAGTTAAATAATATTCAGATTTGAGTAGCACACAGTATTCATATTGAAGACTTACACTTCCTTTGGAGACATAGTTGTTGTCGTGCATGATGTCCCGAGCCAGTCCAAAGTCACAGATCTTCACTATCTTGCCCTGGGACAGGAGGACATTTCTGGCAGCCAGGTCTCTATGTACACACTGCAAAAATACAAGGCATTATTATTGGATCATTATTACACTTAATTGTATGATATTGCATGATTTCATTTTAAAGATATACATGGAATAAATATATAATGGAACCTTTCCAAGATAAAGAAAAAATAACCATTAAACAAAACAACACTTGTGAGGTCCAACTCAATAAGCTTGTGTCTACATCTAGTTGAATTTAGCTCCCACTTTGTGAATGTTCTTTGTGTAAACATGGCGTTCGTTGGATGGGACCAGTGTGTATTTAAGTATAATAAGTATGGAGCTTCTGGCTGTACTTTGTGTCTCCTCGTGCTGCTATATTGAGTCCTAAGCCTGGTTGTTATCACACCTCCGCCGGGCTTCCTCTGTCCCTTTTGGCCGGCACAGCTGTCATCATACAGAGTACAGAGCAGCCCGTCAGCAAGCCGCAAACCCGTATGTGTCATGTGACCCACGCTCCCACAATGTCCACATTCATTCATGAGCCGTTCCTCCACTTGAGGGTTTGACTTACATTTTTGGATGCCAAGAACTCCATGCCTTTGGCCACTTGATACGTAAAGCTCAGCAGATCTGTGGTGGTGAGGCCTTCGTTCAAATCGTCTGTTAGCAGGATGTCAATCTCGCTTTCCCCTTTAAAAAACACACATTCGCATAAATATAGAGCTGGCACCAACCTGGATTTTACTAAGGGCAGGGAGAAACTGGGCATTATTATGCATGCGGTGCAATTATCCACCCTGTGTAATTAGAGGGCAGAGCCAGGCCTAAATTCATCACAGTTAACCCAAAGTGACGGAGGTAAAAGCCAAAAGTAAAAAAAATAGTAGGGTGTAGTGTGTCCTCACCAGTAGAGGATTTCTGGGAGGGAGGATGGTCATAGTTGGACGTGTGGATGTCTGAGTATTTGGAAGAGTTGCTCATCTCCAGCATTGGCACGTACTGAGTGGTATCGGCCTGTTTCATGTCCATGTAATCGGCTTTGCTCTCAAACGACAGGATCACATAGCTGCGTAAAACGGGCAAGAAGAGACAAAAACGATGAAACTTTGTAGTATAAATGTTATCTACGGTACACAGAAAGCACGACATTTCGCCGAAGCCTCTTTCCTCACTAGCTTGGATGTGGTGAGGTTTTGGGATCCAGCCCTAATTCAATTTCATCCTGGTCATTTGAGGTGCGGTCACTGTGAGTCATGGTTATATTCACCCGTGTTTGGAGAGTGGGGATGGGCTTGGGAGGTGGGGGGGGGGGGGGGGGGGGGGGGGGGTGTTGGAGTGGAGCCAATTACCAGGTAACTCTTACACAATGACATTAGGCTGAAATCTGAGGCTACTCTCAACCAGTATTCGATTAGCTCAAGATGCCAGACTATTGCTTTGTCTGTGATAGAGTTACAGATAGGCGGGTGTTTGAGAGACAGGGAAGGGGGAGAAATTGTTTCAGTGGATGTAATGCTCAAATTTGGTTATAGGGTTCTGAGGTAATCCATTTTAAGGAGCCTTATTCCTCTGCCTACTTCGAGGCCCAAATTTGTTATGCTTCAATATTTTATGTATTTTAAGATTTGAATCAGTTCTCATTTACACATCTCTACAAAAATACAGCTTTCAGATGACATTATGCACTATATTCTACAACACCACAAGACTGACACCCCATTTGAGTTGTTATCATTTCACTTGAGCTCAAACTGTTTATTTCTGTGTGTCTTGCTTTTATTTTATTTTGCATCTTGTTTATTGTTTATATTGTCTTCTTTTGCATAACGTTCAACCCAGACATCAACACTTTTTTAATGCTTTTTCACTGTAAAATTGTTTGAATGCATACATGTTTGAATGGATTTTATGCAATTGTATTGTAAATCACTTTGGTCGCCTTGAGTGTTGTAAAGGGCTCTATAAATAAATAAATAAATAGAAATAAATGAATACATTGATTGAATGTTTGAAATAAATTCTTACTACTACTTGTAACTAAACAGGTGGACGCTTGTACCTCCTGCTGCTCTCATCCGTCGGGTTTATTCCAAAGATGTCCTCGTCCTTCTTGGTCTTCTCTGTGTTCAAACTCGTGAAGTTCTCCCTGTTCTTGTGTAGATAGTTCACCAGATCTCCATAGAAGCAGTACTCGGTGATAATGTAGATAGGACCTAAAAAGGCAGAAGAGTCACTAGGCTAATCTTATGCAAAGCACAACAAAGACGCCATAAAAAGTCTCTCTCTTGCAAAGTCAAATGAACGTTTAAAACTCACTATTTACCTGATTTAGTGCATGCCCCGAGAAGGTTGACGATGTTCAGATGTGGTCCAAGATGTGTCATGATCTTTAGTTCAGACATCAAGGCCTGTTTTTCACTGGAGCGAGCTGTGGCTGGAAGAACAAAGTGCAACGGTTTTTAAGAACAAGCAAAACATCATCCAAACAATGAGAGTATGCAAAACAAACATCGGATAATTTGCACTTGTCTAGATTATATGCATGACTTTACGTGTATTGAGGCTTGGTATTGGCACAACATGTAAATCTAAAAGTTATAAAAACTCTTTATGATGTCATAGTATTGGCTGTACAATTTGCATTTTCCATAAGTAGATAAAACAGTCAAACAGACTCAAAAAAAAAAAAAAAGGGTCATATTGTCTTATTTTTGGCAGTATTTTTGACATTGGCAGTGGACCCTGTATTTCTAAGCCTGCTTTAGAACATGCTTTAGAACCTGCTTGAGATGGAAATGATATAATCCAAATAATTTCAGTCTTTGCAATTTGATAATTGTGGCCTAAATCTAAAAAGTTACTTTCTCCATTGGATTGCAAAGAACCATGTAGCCATATAGACTGCTGTATACTCACGTTTTAGCATTTTCACTGCCACCTTCATAACGGGCTGGGAGCGGCTGAGTCCGTAGGCGGTGCCCTCTACCACCTTCCCGAAGGCTCCGGAGCCCAGAACACGACCTGCCAATCACACGAGATGAAAGGTCAGGATGAAAGTGAAGGATTTACACAAACACATTTCTGGCCGTGCTTTCTCATGTGTGGCCCTCACAGCAGTAGCTTTTGTCCTCTATTGCCCCAAAGTAGATTATCTTATCACTGCATCGTTTGAAATGCAGAGCGAGCCACAGCCGCTCAGCAGGAGTGGCCCCATAGTCAAATCAATCACAACATGTTTTGATAGTTTTGCTGCAAATGTCTCACCAAGGACCAGTCTGTCACGAGGGAACTCCCATCTGGAGTCATAGGGAAGCTGCATAGGGTCCACATAGATGTATTCATGACCATCGGGGCTCACGGACTCGATCACCCTCCAGCGGATTTCGTATCTGGGTTTCTACGAGACAGAGGGGAAAATAGTCTTTGTAAATTGACTGTTTTTGAGGTTTAAAATGAATCGATATCAGCCAGCAAGAGAGACTATGCAACATATAACTATAGAGATGCAGTAAAACACTCAAATATACTTGTGGTTGAAAGGAGGAGTTAGCATGGATACATGGCAGTGAAAAGTGCAGTACTTTCTGGACTATTAAGCGCATCTGTATATAGTAAACCACATCAGCTGAATCTAAATATATAGCCTTCTTTTCCACATATAGGCGGAACTTATACAGAAGCCACCAGTTTCAATACAAAAGCTAATAGACGACTGTTTTCACAGGACACAACATGATTTCATGTGTTTTTTTACTCTTGACTCGTGATGATCAAAGCACTCTGGTAAATCCTATCTATTTGCAAACCGGAGGAAACCCACACAGATACAGGGGGCGGGTAAACATGCACACCCCACTCCCATGCAAGCCCTGTTCCTGTTTTGACCTTCATGACACTTTGAAGCAACTGTGGTTAAAGTTCTGACTCATCATTCTAACAATATGCACGAGAAAGTTCTTTTCCACTACATTTTTTGGTTTTCTCAAGGCTACTCAAGATACTGGCACCGCGGCGAATGCTGATTGGACGTCTCCATTCCTACATGCTGTATAATATCTCATGCATTCTGTAGCTGTATCTTTGTACATGCTCGTCTACCATCGACAATAAAACATGTCTTCTGTCTGAATTAAAGACACGATCCCAGACTTTGTTCTTGCTGAGAGGCGAGCCACCATGCCCAAACCTGTCGTTGTATCACAGGGGGACCTCTAACATAATCAAAATACATCCGTTGGCTGCATCTCTATACAAAGTAGTGGCTCATAGTCCAGAAAGTACTGTAGTTCACATGAGAGTGAGTGGCACCATTACCTGTTTCCATATGATAACCAACACAATGAGTGAGATGATGACAATGACCAGCAGCACCAGCACAGCAGCAGCGACAGTCAGCTCGGGGTGAGGACCTGTTTGGGGGGAAGAGCGGATGGTCAAAACACTTGCGTGGTATGTAAAAAGGCGGCGGAGTGGAGGACAACACATGGATGACCGTCGTTTAGTGGCTCGGGGCAGAAGGTATGCGGGGTAGATAAGATATAAGCAGGAAGGGGTGGGAGCTGGAACACTTGAGAGGGTTTGCTGCGAAGATTACGGAGTGTGTGAGAGTGTGGGTGAGTGTAGGTGGAGGAGGGGTGATGCTCGGTTCATCTGGGACACCCAAAAGGCCCCAGCGATCTCTGGTTTCTCTGAATTATCTGACAGGATTCAGCTCTCAGTGGGGCCAGAACACTCGCTCCTGAAAAGGTTTGGCCAGGACTTAGAAGTGGTCTCACGATGGGAGCAACAGTGTGAGAACAAAACATTGACATTGAAGTGACATATGTTGCACGATGGCAGGAATTATTCTGAATATGAAGAGTTTATATGCAAAAACAGATATCTCCGTTTTTAAATGTTGTCCAAATATTGTATTCCTCTAGTTGCAATCTTCAACACGTTCTGTTAATGGCAGTACATTTTAAATAATTTGCGCAACAAGGGGTAACTTTGCGCAACAAGGGGTTTGTATGGCAATAAATTAGATCTGGCTTTTCACAAAACTACTTGGTAAAGAGGAAATTGTAAGCTTTTCCGATATGTTTCCATGGCATATGTTTTGACATATAAACTATTCATATGTATGTGGATGATTGAAGGACAAACACACATAAATAGTAAATCTCTCACAATACAATAATGGTCAGGGATGCAGTTATTGTAGCAATGGCTGAGACTATTGTGCGACAGGTAGGGAATGACACACTAATGAAATGTGTTTGTGGTGCTATTTTTTCTCTAAATCAAGAAATGAAGTGGTATGAACAATTTAACTGTGAGTAATATTTACCTGATACACACCGCTTGATAACACCATACAATTACTGATCATGGCATTCATATATTTACTGAATGTACCGGTAATAGTACGGTCACAACTCAATATAAATGAACTATACATTTGTGGGCCACAGCTGCTCATGATGCGTCTGCTCACCATTGGACACCAGCTTGACCTCACGGCTCACTGCGGCCATGTCATTTTTAGCCAAACAGCGGACTGCCAGAGTATTTTCCAGGTGGCCGAACAAGACCTGGCTCTCAAGATTGTTCTCTTCGTCCATGTGTGCGTCCATTTTGACATCAGTGGAGTTGGCGGGGAGGGGCACCCAGGAAGAGGTATCATTGGCACAGCTACAGTGAGAAAAAAACCCATCAATAAATATACTATACATTTAAATTGAAAAATGCGTATATAAAGAATAAGGCTCACTTCTTGATGTTTTTGCAGACAAACCACTCCACTTCAGGAGTAGGTTGACCGCGAGTGATGCAGACCACAGCCTGACCAGAGGCAGAACCATGATGGATGTCCATGAGGTCCACAATAACAGCGGGCACTGTGCAAGACAAGAAGGATGCATTTAAAATTAGAACGGTGGTGGTTCAAAGTAAATTAGATTACGTTTTAAAGCTGAGGTACATAACTTTTCCCCTGTAAAAGGAAATTGTTTGGGAACAAATCACGCTACGTCCATCTTATTAGAAAACACATTATATTTTGCATAAACATACATGGATGTGAAAACTAGTGATAGAACCAAAATTTTAGCCAAAAACTAAGGATTTTATTTAGTGCTGTCCAAAATATCGCGTTATTAACGCGTTAACGCAAATCAATATTAACGGCGTCATTTTTTTATCGCGCGATTAAAAAAAAAAGAAGAAACCCAGAAGGGCACATAGGAGGGGGGGGGACATGAAGTGGGAGATGGGGGGGAGGGGTTAATAAAAAAGGCAATACAAGCAAACAGTATACAGTCATAGATATACCGAAAGTAAACAGAGAAACAGCATAGAGTATTTACATGAACAAATTTACAAAATATTTACAGATTGTTTATCATCATCATAATGACACCATGATGTTTCTATACAGTCTATGGTCTATACCCACACATACACACACACACCCACACCCATAAACACACACACTCCACACACACACACACATACACCCCACAGATAAGATAAGATATAAAGTCTGCCCGCCTGAGTTGTTTCACCAAGCTAAGCGGAACCCAGCCAACATCAAAACCAAATCCGACACACACACAGACCCCCAAGCAGGCCCCCACCCCAAAAAGGGGGGGAGGGAGCCCACGCCCGGCCCATTCCCTCTCTTATTTTGTTCCTTTTTCCCAAGTGTTTTTCTTAACTAAACGTGTCATGCATTAAAATAAGCTTTCGCTTACCCTGACTTGTGTATTATCATTATATGCACATATGCACATATTATTCATGTTATTATTATATTTATCTACTTATTCATTCATTTTTTATTTTATTATATTATTATTATTAATTTTATTTTATTATTTTAATTTTATTTTAATTAATTCAAGGGACATAAAGAATAGATACAAATGTGTGACTAATTTGCGATTAATCGCGAGTTAACTATGAAATTCATGCGATTAATCGCGATTAAATATTTTAATCGTTGGACAGCACTAATTTTATTACATTAGATTATTTTTTTGTGGTTTCAATGTTACGTTTTCCAGCTTGAGGAAAAGTTGCATTATTTGACTTGGATTTATCAATTTCTGACAAAAAGTACTAATACTCAAGTATATTCCAAATGTGCTATGCTTATGGACAACATCAATCTTTACCTTTGACCAGCAGAGAAAAGCTAATCCCACGACTCTGGTTCCCGCTTGTGACTTGCATGGTGTAGTTCCCGCTGTCTTCCTCTTTGGCCCTTATCAAAGTCAGGACACTCAAAAACCTGGGAAACAAATAAAAAACCAGAAGAGAAACCAGTGAATGCCTTGTCGTTAAGTCACAGACTAATAACAAGCCGCACTCTGGGAACCTCACTTTTGGCCTGTCATTACGGGGGCTACAGCCGCTGTGGACTCACCTGGTCTCGCCGATCTGCCGGAGGCTGGTGGAGATCTCCGCGGTAACGTCGCCGAGAGGAAGTCCGTCTTTGAGCCAGGTCACGCGAGCGCTGGGCAAGGCATCGATGTCGGCTCTGAATTCGCGGACTTCGTCGAGCTCGGCTGTTTCGAACGTGGCGAATTCAGGCTTGATGTTCAGGAACTCACTCGCTGATGTGGAAATAAGGACCGTCAAGTTGAGAGTATTTCCTATTGCACTTATTTCTGTACAACAATGTGTTCAATCATTCTTACCAAACACTGTCACTGAGAGTGTCTTGGTTTGGCTGTCGCTGCTCATGACGTCTGATATTGAACAGGTGTAGAGTCCGCTGTCTTTAGTGGATGCATTGGGAATGGTGAGTGTGTAGAGTATTTCCTGGTTTCTTTGGTCCTCCTTCACTGATATTTTGCCTCGGTTTAACTGTGAAAAAGATGCAAGTTTTACACATCTCCCTTTAACCAAGACTTTTTTGTGAAAGTTTACACACCCAGGCAGAAAATGCATTCTTGGGGTCATATTTTTAATGATAACACGTGCACTTCTACTCATTGTTAGTGATTGTGGGAAGCCATTTATTATTCTATTATTCGTTTTTCATATTCCTATTCAAATGGCCTTGATCAGAAATGTGCAGGTTGTAATATCTTGTTCTTCCCCTTTAACGTCTATAACAGCTTGGAGTCTTTTCTGGCAGTAGTGGAGAGGTCATGTGATCATGTAAATATATAACCTCCTTGCATGAACTGCATGCTTCAGATCTTCCCAGCGTGGCCCAAAAATGTTGAAAATAAACTTGTTTTATTGTCAGTAAGTGGCTTCAGTTAAAATGTGTTATCATTCATAAAATATCTGCCAGGGTGTGTTCACTGCACACAAAATAGGACGATTGCGCTATTGCTATTTGTGTGTTAGCCTTACCAGTTTTCCCGGGTATTTCCAATGATCTTCCAAAACCTGTGATCCTTTTGCCAGGCAGGACAAGGTGATGCTTTCTCCCACCAGCAGAGCAGTCTTTCTGGCACTGAGCTCAACATGCAGAGCGCTACCTGAAAGTCAAATCCCCCACATCAACATTAGGAGCTGACCTTTTCAAACTTGTAGCATTGACATTGTGTGTAAGTTGAGGCCAAAACAAGACTTGAGAGAATTTGCAACACTTACCGACAGTAGCACCGATCCAGCCATGGACGATATACTCCTCGCTCTGGTACTCCTGTCCGTCGATGACAGCCTTGCAGACATACGTGCCGCCGGGAAAGACCCCCAGGGCGCCGCGCTTGCTGTCGTACACGCAGGGGACGGGCTGCTGCGTGTCCACATTCACCAAAGTGACGTTGGCGCTGGGGTCGGACACTCGGCACTGGACCTCCATCTCATCGGGGCCAGAGATGACGTGGTTAGCGAACGACATCAGGGACGGGATGAAAGGGGTGTCGGGATCTGTGTGGAGTAACATGAAGCTTACTTTTGATTTAACTGCAACAACAACTATGTATGGAATTAACAAACTGGGAAACAGCTTTATATGAATGATGATTTTAAGACAATTTCTTAATGCAAGTATATGTATATGTATATGTGAATGTGGCTTTAGAACAACTACTAAAGCTGGGAAATACTGAATTCAAAATAACTTCACAAATTATATTTTGGAGGCAAAACTTGTTAAAAAACATTGAAGAAATTGAGGTCTTCACAACAACGTCTTCTGGGGGACAGTGGCGACACACTCCCCTGCGCCCCTTGACCCCGGTCCGGGTCTTATATGAAAGGTTTAACACAAGCAGAGAGAATAAAAAAGTATGCGACTGCTGTAGAGATGTTATGTGACCGAATGTGACGCACAATCTCACGACCCCACCACACCTCATCCCCCCACTCCCCACATTGACCCCCCTCATCTGGGCTTTACAAGCCTGCCCAACCCGACTTGCAGCAACCGTGCCCAAGCCGAATTGCCGCGGTCACATAGCACCTAAAGCCCGGATCTAATTGCGAAGTGGGCCCAGGCCCACTTTAACCGGGCTTTAGGATGTGCATGTGACCGCAGCGTTGGTTGATAGAGTGTTGGCCTTTGAGCCTGAAGGTTGTGGGTTCGATAAAGATATAAAAGATCTATTCTAAAGCTTTAAGGACAAATCAGACCATGACAGAAAAAAATTGTGGAAATGAGTAAAGCAGACGAAGTGCTGACCTGGCACGTAGACGTAGATGGCGCTGTCCTCAATGCCCTCCGTGTCGTTGGCGCTGTAGAAGCAGCTGTATTCGCCAGTGTGCATGGCGGTGGCGTGCTCCACGGTCACGGTGTTCACAAAGAGGCCGTTGCTGTCCTCCTGCGTCTGCTCCGGGACTTCCAGCGGAGTGTCCCACACCACTCTGCCCTGGCCCCGGCAGCTGAGCGTGAAGGGGGAGTTGAGCGGCACCACCAGCTCCTCGTTGGGAGGAAGTAGCACCGGGGCAGAGGACGGCGGGAACAGGATGGCCGAGGGAGCTACGCCACAGAGGAGAGACAAGCGTTCAGTAAGAGCCACAGTACCAGACATGGAGGGACCAGAGCTGGGCCATAATGACACAAATGATCATCTCTGTCCATGTGTGCTTTATAGTGATATTCAGACAGCTGCACCGTTTTAAAGTTTTTTTTTTTTTTTTTATTGTTTCATTTTAAATAAATATTGTGATTATGATTTAATTTGTGGTTTCTGTTTTGACTATAAAGATGTAAGTTCTTGAAGGGTTAGTCCTGTCCTTACTATAATAATAATGATAATAATAATAGTTTTGCTTGAATTGACTTAAAGCTAAGTTTGAATCCGTTAAATAGGAACTTGCCTCTACACTAACAGATCTATACCGGTAATTACTTATTCAAGTAACTTATTTTTTGATTTGCAATGAGTGAATTCCAGTGCTCCTAACACAGGGATGGGCAGTTTGTAAAAAATATGCAACAAGATAATTTGATTTTACAAATAACGTCCACTGAATAATTGCCGACTTTGCTAATTACAGCCACTAAAATTTGAGGAGGACAATATTAACGCAAATTAACTCTCTATATAATTATGGAGTATTTAGATAATGCTATTCAGATGGTAATTTTTGATCATAATTTAACTAAAACTTTCTTCTTAATATGGGGGAATTTTATGCGTCTAGTAATAGTGTGTTTATTTTTGGCTTTAATTAAACAATACACTCAATAATTGCACTACCAGAATTTTACCTTTTACTATGAGCTCAAATGAGAAGTGAGCGGTGCGGGACCCACTGCTGGCGGCGATGGTGTATATCCCGTTGTCTTTCTCCAGCGGTTGACGAAGTTTGAGAATGCTCTGGTAGCTAAACAAAATGGAAAAAAAGTGTGAATGGATTTCAAATAAATGCAAAAAAGCCAATGCATTTGAATGAGTAGGATTGAGATGTATTACCGATTGGATACTACGTGGTTGGTCGTCGCGAGGACATAATAGTTTTGCTCGATGTCCTTTCCGTCTTTCTGCCATGAGACTTTGGGGGCTGGGAACGCATCAATCAGTATCGTAAACTCCGTCTCCTCCAACAGACTGACGAACTCGGTGGGCAGGATCCCACTGTGGTCCAATGTGACGTAGGCGCTGTCCTCTGGAATGACACATAAGGATGTTATAGGACTTTCACAAACAAAAATCTCATGTACAATTATTTAAAAAGAGGTGAAATTGTTGGGTTTCTTATGGACGACAAAAGCTTAAAAAATAGGGGAAAAAAAAAGACCCGACATCTGCTCAGGTCGTCTGGTTCATCGCAGTGGGCTGATGTTAAAAGCAGAGGTGAAACTTTACAATCGGATGGCAGCAAATGGCTTCCATGAACCGCTGGGCCACATCAGGCGCATAAATAAAAAGTCCACAGGAATATCGACGTGAATGAAGACTTTTTGAAAAGAGACCAAGTAAAGCTAGAATGTCAGAAAGATGTTTTGTCTCATGATTCTGACTTACTTTGATGACTGAGCTTACAATTTAGAAGCTCCGGTAATATTTATGTACTCAACGTTGGTTCTGTATAGCTTTCTTTAGGACTTAGAGCTGGGGTAACTCACTTTGTTGTTACACACATTGGAAACTTTTGTGAGCAAATCAGACCACAACATGCAATTTCAACATATTCGAATACACTTTACACATAAGAAAGAGGCCTTGGACTGAGTGAAAGTGGCCCTCTCTTTTTTTCACTTTTCTATCTAATAAATCTAATCTAAAGATGTGACAGGGGCCAAAAATACATGCGTGTGAAAACGAGTTGGAACTACAAACGAGACTGATTTAATGTCATTGTTATTTTTATGCGGTTTCAAAGTTAGACACCCCAGATTTAAGAAGACTGATTTTTGATGTTTGAGATTGATCTGAGTTAAGTATTCCCAACCAACTTACCAAAAACAGACACGGCCACCATGCCTGTTTTAACCTCTCCGGTGATCTGGTCGGTAACGGAGCACTCATAAGTCCCGCTGTCCTTTGCGGAGGCTTTTGCGATGTGGAGGGTGTACACGATATGGTCCGAAAAGGTCTCTTTCTTTTCAACCGCATCCAGAGCCTGCAACAAAAACATGCGCAGGGCAAAGTTCAGGCGACCAGCAGGCAGAATGTTCAGGGTCGTTTTGTTTTGCAGTAAGCGAGACAGAATGTGTTCGTTGTGGAGCTAACAGCTAATGGCTAAAACACTTGCAAGAGCACAGGCGATAAATCAGGATCATAAGGTCTTTTAAAGCCTGTAATTGTGACCAAGACCAAAAACAGGAATTGGGGTTTCAATGTTTTCATCCTTTCGAACATCTGGGAAAGGAATTACAGGAATCCCAGGTTGGAACACGCCATTTAACACATTGGGAACGCGAAGGCACTTGCAAACAAACATACAGTGTTTTATAGCATTACAAAAACATGCAGATCCTATTTACATTCACATATAAATGTTCTCTCGTTCTGTGGAATCACTTCCCGTCCCTGAGTGGCTTCGGCCTTTCCTGTCTTGTTGCCTCGTCTGGAGTTAACAGTAGAGTTTGGCTGACGGTCTCATAATGAAGACATAACATTTGGTTTCTCTATTTCTTGACAAATATTCATGTAACCGCTAAGGGCTGTCCTTGCAGTTATATTCTGCTTGCCCCTGCTGTGTCCGAATCTGTTATTTGGTCCTTTAAGCTATAGTACAAACCGGTGGAAAGTGGTTACATAAACATGAGTAAAAATTGAGAAAACCGGAGAATGCGCTGTTATTTATAGCGACTTCTGTACAATTGTTGGTTTACACAATATCTCTGGAGATACTGTAGATTTTTAATGTAGATTTTTATTAATGCATGCCTTCTCGTTTATAATCTGATTTAACTTGTTTGCATCGAGAGCCAAATCAATTTTCTAGTTTGTGACTTCCTGTTACTCACATGGCAATAAAAGGATTCTGATTCTCATTCTGGAGCAATTGCACATTGATGCTAGCTAATGATTCAGATTCAGATTCATTTATTTGCCATTTGCAGTAAAACCACATTGGAAAAACTGTGCAAGACTACCATAGTGTGCACCATGTGAGCCGTATACACCCAGGACACAGATCTACTGCATTTATTATATTCTTATTTAATGCAGATATAAAAGGTTGAGCCAGGCAACCCCAGATACTACCTTATCATGTCATGCGTTACTACTTTTCCAACTCCTTTGGCCAAAATATAAGACACTATTGTTGATAAAACTGACCTGTTTTTTGGGATGAAGCCACTTCTGCTGTAAGAAGGGTCCTCCTTGAACGGTGCAGGTGATGTTCAGTTCTCGGCCCACAGAGAGAGTCTCATCACTGGTCTTCACTTCTAACCTGAGATCGTCCAAAACGGCAGTGTCTACGACCAACAATAAACACACTGAGCAATAATGGAAAATACAAAACTGTTTTCTTTCCAATTCACTAAACATTTTGAAGTGATTACATATAGACTCTGGCTTAAGTCATTATTGATCATTGTCACCGATTAAAACAAGGAAGGACCCAAAAAGCAGAAAGACAAAATTATATTACTGATTAAATGCCACAAGCTTAAGAAATCCAAACTTAAAAAAACGGAAACCAGGGACTAGACATGGGTGGGAAAAAAACAATAGGCTAACAACAACAAGAGGAAAGGAGCACAGGGTCTAAATACACAAAGGGAGACCCAGGTTCAACACATCAGGGTGAGGCAGAGAATCAACAGGACTGACAGGAAGTAAAACTCAAAAGAACGAATACATATTAAATAAAACCAGGTAAAACTAAAACAACCAAAATCCACACCATGACAGATAATAATTTATAATAACACATGGGGTTATCGCCCGCAGCCAGACGTGGAGTGTTCCCAGCTATTATTATGCCTTTACCAAATCAACATCACTGACTCAGTAGTCTCCCTCATCACTGTAAGAACCCATATTGTAAGTATGCTTCCCAAAACAACAGCCTTTAAGTTACACTCACCTCCGTCCTCAACCGTGTAAGTAGCACTTTGAAATGTCCGCCCGTTGACTGTGGTTTCGCAGTAGTACTGGCCAGAAGACAGAGAACCAAAGAAGCCGATTTTGTTGTCATACAGAGCAGGGCGTTCGTCTCCGTCCTCCACGCTCTTCAGGACGACGTGATAGTGAGGGTCAGACACGCGGCAGGTGATGGACACTCCGATGTGATCCATGGGCACGATCAGGTTCTCTCGAGACTCTGGTACGAATGGAGCTGTGGGATCTGACAGAGAGAAAAGAGAGGTGAATGTGCTGCAGGTTTTACAATGAACAATGAAGACTATAATGCACTCCTGATCTCACATGTCATGCACAGTCACTTTACTAAGTCACTTTTAGCCCATTGCCTCATGTTCATAACATGTACAGTAGTTTCATCACTGAATATTTGAATCCTACAGAGCTAAGGACTTATTACTTCAATATTGTGTATTACAGATTTTCTCCCGACTGTGGGACAAATTAAGGATCTCTTTACTCAATCTTAGGTTTACAATGGTGGTCAGACAGCAGCTCTTCAAATATGGAAGATAGACATATTAAATATTATTAATATTATTCAGAGGATATACCCCACATGCTTACAACTATTGTAAATGTAATCTCTCTTTGAGCACTACTGATGCAACTGTGCTCCATGGGATTAACGATGGCGGGCCTTGTACTGGAGACCATTGTTGAAGATTTGTTGGCCTCTAAAGAATTCAAGTCTATGTAAGGTATACGAATTAGTATACAACATAGTCTCAGCCAATGTTTTTGTTTGTTTCTTTGAATAAAAGTGTATGCCTATACTTCAATAAGAGTTTCTGTGCCAGACACACTGACTCACAAGAAGTATAGTGTGCATTGGCATTAGGTATAGTGTACATTTTCATCCAACAAACACAGACAGTACCTGGCACAAAGACGTAGATGCCCGCCTCGTTCTCCTCTGGCTCTCCATCAAAGCTCTCATAGGTGCACATGTAGTACCCGGTGTTCTCCACGGTGGCGTTGTAAATGAAGAGGGTGGTGGTGTAAAATCCCGGAAGGACAAAGGTGTTTTCAGGCAGAGGTTCTGCCCACAACACGGTCCTCTTTCCAGTGCAGCTGATGTTGAACACTGAGTCTGGCTGAAGAACAAACTCCTCTTCGTTGGAGATGATGATCGGAGGGGAGAGGGCGCAGGTAACTGTAAGAACCACGTAATAACGTGTTACAACGTGTCTCCCATGAGTAACATACGTGCTACACATTCATTTACTTACGTGAGATAAGAGCCACCACCACGCACGGCTTGAGCACATCCATGCTGATGGGTGTCCTGCCTGCAGAGACACAAACACCAATGGGATCATTGTTGTAATCTACAATAGACCCGTATGAGCTTGCTTTTCTGATGTGCATATTAGTTTAGGTCGCATTGTGGTATGATCGACACAACAGTTTTACATGAATAAGAAGTGCCACCAAAGTGAGGTGGGGAAAAAACAGCGCTCGCTCTTACGAGCGGCCACTTGGGGGCGACACAGTCCGCTATTCGAGCCCCGAAAGGCCGCTGCACTAAACTCCTCATCCCGCGTTGTTTTCCCTCTTTTCCAACACTGTCCCTCACCGAAATCCTGACCAGTTCACTGGGTTCTGTCTATCAACAGATGACAAAGGTCTTTCCTTTTGTGTCTTAATATATTTCGGTGACATCAAGACATTATTTTCACTCGTCTATTTAGTGTTGTGTTGTTGTTGTTTTCTTAGAGGGGGAGTTATTTGTTTGTGAATTGCTGAGCAAAAGTCCAGGCCTGAGCTGTCTGTCTAAAATGATGGATCCCTGTTGTCCTTGAGGGGCCCCACACAGTCTGCTGGGGGCTCCTGGGGGCTCCTCTGGGCGAACGCGCGCCTCCCTGTGCGCCACTTGCGGGTGTCACAGATTGTGGGTCGTACGCTACGCACGTTAGTTTGCCGTCGACACGTTTCGTTCACTGTATAATGAAAGTATTGGCCCGTGTTGTTTCCTGTGGCTGCATTCTGTGGAGCGTCTGGACACTTTAATGATCCTTGGGAAACCTGCATTTGTTTCACTCTATAATCAACTGCTCCCACTGAACACAAAAGTGTGTATTTTCGCAGCCTTTATATGTCAACGAGCTTTAATTGGATTTGACGTGTTTGTGCACACGCCTCGCCTCGATCCTTTACTCTGTCCGTTTAGTCTGTCCCCTTTCTCACCGAGAACTCGACAAATGTCCCACGCAGCGACAGCTGAAAGTCGCTCGGTGTGACTGTATCTTTGCTTTAGCAGCTGATTCCCAGGGAGTCAAAACTGATTCCCAAGTTGCAGAGAAGTCACTTGTATGAAGAGGATCCAGGTTTGTTATAGTCCCCTGTGCACAGCGGGACTCAAGAGAAGAATGCGGCTCCAGACACCTCACTCTTCCACAGCCGCTCTTCTTTCCTCCACTGTTGAAGTTTTTAATTCGTCAGATTCCTTTGCAAAAATCATTCATTGTTCAACATTTCCAGTGCGTATGCTTTTCATTAAGTGCCAGAGTGAGAGTGCCACAATAGCTCTTCAGTCCTCAGTGACACTTCCAGCTGTGAGGCCCAGACCCATCGCATTCATCCCGCAGAGTCAGCGACATGGCGGGACGCGGTGATCAGGACAGGCTAAAGACTCCTCCAAACTGAGGTGCAAATCAAGACTCCTCCAAACTGAGGTGCAAATCAAGACTCCTCCAAACTGAGGTGCATATCACGCTCTTTCTCATATGCACAAAGCCCCCGCAGAACTTTGAGCGGCACTTTGAAACTTTTATTAACTTTTGCCTACTCCAGAAATGTATTCAAATAAAATATAAGTGTGCAGAAATGAAGTGCAAAACAAATCGATAAAATCCAATGTTTGCGTGCGTAAAACTCTCCAATTTGTCGCTAAAGTGTCCAAAAAGCGCGCGTTTACCTTCAATAATCCTTTATCCTTTTCGTGTCCGTATATCCACAGTGAATGGTCCGCAGTCAGGGTCCTTTACAACAGGGGTAATCCACCAGAGGTCCTGCGATGGGCGACCATATGTCTGCGTATGGTGTGCGTCTTTCGCGACCGCCCTCACGAATGCTCCTCAGCTCCACAGCGACCTGTAACTGATTCAGAGTACAGTCCAGCCCCTGGCCCCGAGTCCACCCGCCCCCCGACAACAACAGCAGCAGCAGCAGTGCAGAGAAAAACATGTAAGAAGCAACAGCCAAGGCTCAAAAGTCAACACGGCTCAAGAAACTATGAGGAATTTATGGAGAAAGAGGTTTACATGATTAGTATTACATTCATTATGGCATGTCAGACTGTTTACCTTCCATAACTTTTACATACCTATTCTTGGTATTATCTTATAATATTTTATAGTTGTTTAAAAGTCTCAAACATATGGAGCGCTGCTGCAACATCATGTTTTCTTGAAACAATGTTTATTGAGATCAGAGATGGGAAGTTGAAAGTCCTAGAGGGCGCTCCAACACAACTGACCACAGAAGCGTCTCTGAGCACACTCACTGGTGCAACGCAGCTCTGCAGAAAAGAAAGACTGCAAAAGAAGAGTTTCTTGTTCAAAATATGAATTGACACAAACATGTGCCTGTAAAACGAACATTTAAGTCATCACATGTCAACAGGTCATGAGCGGTTTTTGTGACTGCTTTGGTCTATTTCAAATAAACAATTATTAGTTTCGTTGTTCGTTTAATTCAACAAATTATCCATGAGAGAACAACCTGTTCTTCTTTGATTTGCATATTGGAAATAGCCGCGGCACCATTGCCTTACGCACTTCAGCTGCAGGGTGGATTTGCCCCAGAGCAAAGTGCAGAGAAGCTCGTGTGGATTAGAAGAGAAAAGGTAATAATACCCTCATGAATCAGCGCGGTGCCGGACAGACAGCTCCGCCCGGGGCACTGCTGCTGGCCGCGATCACTTCCACATGTTTCGCTTAAGAACAGTGTCGTTGTTTTCCAAACAAAGGGTCACGCTCGCCTGACGTCCCACTCACGTTTGCCTCTTTCAGCTAAAAATATCGGTTTCCTGTGACAGTTGTGAGTTTTGCATGACTCCGCTCTCTGTTGTGCGCGCAGAAAACAACACGCACATTTGAAAAGGTGATTATGTCCTTATTCGTCCACTAGGGGGACAGACAATCATTGACACAAGTGTCTCAAACTGTGGCGTATGGTTCATCTGAGTCCTGCCATTGTAGACGGTGTATGTTGTAAGTATATGTATGGTTAGTTTATTCAGGCTCTATCTTTTACAGGTTTTAACTTTAAAAGGTCAGGGCTCAGGACGTGAGGTAGTCCATAACTTTGGTAACGTGGTAAATATTTGCTGCTTCAGGAATTGCTGAATAATTAGTTTGACCAAAACCTCGTATAAAGAACTTTAATCTCTCTCAACAAGAAAGATCCCTTCGTTTAGTATGGACACCTGTGATTACTGTGAACACCTTTATTCACCAGTTCAGCGTTGCAGTGTGAGCTGTAGGTGAAGGGCGGGTGAGCGTGCACGGGTGAGTTCACTGGGAGCTGTCCGGAGTGCTGAAGTCACGGGTCACGCCAAAGTCTGGCCTCTTTCAAACACGTGACTGCGTGTCAGATTTTTCCTCTTTCAGATGAAATAACTATATATGTTGAATCAGAACATACCACCGAATCCATAGGATAGCACCTGTTAGAAGTTTTAGAAATGAAAGCAAAACTTTTCAGCATAAATGATTGATTTGCAACTCTGCCCCAGAAGCATATTAGAAAGACCGTATATCATATGTTCAATTCAAATGATATCTACATAGTGTGTGTCCCCAGATAACAGGTCAACATACAAATGATAGTTGACCTTTTCTGAACATTAGTTTAAAGTTAAAACTATATATTCTTCTTGATTATAAATATAGTCTCCAATGTTCAAGGCAAGGCAAGTTTATTTGTACAGCACAATTCATACACAAGGCAACTCAAAGTGCTGAACAAGACAAGATAGCATTAAAATCATAAATAATCACAGTGCATTAAAAATTAAAGAAACATTTTAGCTGCATGAATCTGAAATGCAGCCTCCCCATGTTTAGTTCCGACTAAAGCAGATTATCCAATGAGAGAGCAGCTTGTGTCTCTCATTTGGGTTGCCAGTTTGTTTAGCTGGTTTTGGCTCTAACAAATTGCACCACACATCATGTTTAAAGGGAAGCAGATACAAAACAGTTAATACACAGAAAATGCACTGTTTCTATGAGCCCCAGCAGGTGGTTTTCATCATTCTTCAGTGCTTATGAGAGCTACATGCCCTATGATTGACGTTGTAATTAATTTATTCATATAGTCATTTAGCATATTACATACTGTCCCTCTAATGAAACATAGTCCACAACTGCATCACTGTGTATATTTGACACGCATAATATCGCCATCACCTTTGAGCCTCAAGTTATTATCCAAGGCTCGTTCTTGTCTGGACACCTAGATGCTCGCGTGCGTGTGTCAGCCAATAAGATCCAAGCCCAGTTCTCCAACGGCACTTCAGCCTCTTCTACTTCTGTCTCTTCATCACGAGCAGCTGCAGCGCTTAAAAAGCCGCTTATTAATTACCTTTTGTTATGCGTAATTGCCACTTTTTGTCAATAGAGGTCGTTGAGGGCTGACATCTTTATAGTGGAGAGTTATTGGAGTAAATGTGCACACAAGGAAAAATTAAAAAAAATACACATTTAGAGTTTAAAATCGGTTGTTACGTGTATACCCATATGAACAATCTGCATGGTGGTCGAATGATCTGGCTTCACGGCGCCACTAAAGATGATTGAAAAGTTTGTATTCTATTGTGAAAGGCTCTAAATGCTGCCGAGGAACCCCACACCTGCAGAGGAACCATAATTCGATTAATAGGAGCTTATATATTCATTAGGTGGCTTTGGCCTCATAATACATGATCAGCAGCGCGGAGTGAAAAGGGGACCATTGATTTGCGCTCTGAATGGGCCTGCGTGGGACTGCAACTTCACCTGCTTCCCCTCTCAATTAGGAATGTATCCCAAACTCGGGCAGAAACGAGTTAAATTAGGCGTCTGCTAATTTCCAGTGGGCCCTCCTCCATAATCCCTGCTCTCTGTGCGTCCGCTCCATTTGATTCAGCGCCGCCTGAAAGCCTCGAATAGCGCCTAATGAAACAGTGACTAAATGGTTGTGTGTCGCAGGAGGAACCCTGGAGCTGGGTCTCAAAGCGCTCTGAGCACGCAGCCGTCAGGGGGTCCGCGCCTAAATGAGAGTCCCAGGGCAGGACAATCTAACCTGTCAAAGCCTTTGGTCACTTCTATATATCCTTGTTCCCCGCTTCCACGCACGCAATAACAGCATAATCACCCGACCGACGTGGGACCCGAAACGCAATTAAACTAGAGTTGGACAAGTAAAAACCATTGAAAAGCAGGCATTAAGGAACTATTGGCTGCTCCCCACGGGGCGTTATCGGGTACCCTTTTGTGGTCGGATCTGAGAAGAAATTACAGCTTCACTCCATCCATTTCAAACTAAGGCCTATATCATGTAAATCATGCGTTTCCAAGCATCTCCAAATACACACAGCTCGTTTGGGCAGACTCTAGAAAGTAGAATTGGGCATTTACTTTATAATTAGGCTTTTTCCATCATTATTGTTTTTCCTGTTTCCATTGCATTTAGCAGAATAGCCCAGGTCAGTTGGGCCCCATTCCCTAGTTTGATTGAATCCTGACAAAACAATAATATTTACATAATAGGCTGTTTTTATTTTCCGTTTAGTGGCAGGTGCATATGTGAGAGAGTGTCTGAGGTTTTTTTCTTGCATGTGCATAGTGCTCATTATATCTTAAGCACATTTTTTAACGCTTCTATTGCGATTTAGTTTTTCCCTCTAAATATGCCCAAACATTAAGAGTAAAGTACATCACATCAACATTAAGAGGCTATAATGACCTTAATACAATTTCAATGATGCTTTAAAACTGCTCCCTGGATCAATGCAATTTTAAACAATTGAGAGACTGGACTCAAGTTTGGGGAAATGTAACATAGTCCATCCCCTTGACATGACATGACAATGCGATTGTAATTAATCTTATATTTATTACAATAAATACACATATACATAGTTTACACATTGGTGCCGAAATCACACAGGTTTGACCTTAAAGAAACATTTCACGCATGCGCTCCTTGGAAACATGCACTTATTGCAGAACACATAAACACTGAGATATCCCGTAAACAGTCAACTTTTCACAGTCTGTAGAGTTCGTAGTTTTCATGCGGGATCCTTCACATTATCAGGAGAATGAGTGTTTTAGATGCAGGGGGAAACCTCCTTGTCTTCAGTCACAGACACAGGGGACATGGACTCCTCGTCCTCTGACCTGGAATAGTCCGGCGTCAGGTGTCCCGTGGCGCACTTACAGCCGCTGTGCGCGCTGCTGCTCCGCTGTGTGGATTTGCCCTCTTTCTTGTGCTTGACTCTGCGGTTCTGAAACCAGATCTTCACTTGCTTCTCGGACAGGTTCAAGTACGTGGCGATCTCGATCCGCCGGAGCCTGGACAGGTACATGTTTGAGGAGAACTCCCGCTCCAGTTCTAAGAGCTGTGTGCTGGTGAAGGCTGTGCGCATCCTCTTTCCATTCTGGATCTGTGTATTATCCGAAGCGCCTGAGAAACAAAACACATCTGACTTTTACAAACAGTTCATGAAGCATCACTTTCCTAGAGAATAAAGCATGCGCAGACACGCATGCGTCGTACAGGTGTAACTCACTGAGGGTCAGGCAGTGGTACCTCCTCGGGTCTGTGACGCTGAAGGTAGGCGCACAAACAGGCGTGTGCGCGGGATGCGTGAGTGCTGGACTCTGGTGGGTCACTCGGTGGCAGTACTGCGCCTCAGCTCCTGGGAACTGCGTCTTGAGCACAGGGATTCCCCCACGAGAGGAGTGTAGGTGCGTCGTGACGCACAGTGGACACACGCAGAAGGTGCCAGTCTTCCTGGAGGGACACATTGGGGATGTGACCGTCATGACGCCCGGAGAGTGCACCGCGCTGATGGGGATGAGGAAGTCCTGCGCAGGGTGCTGAGGTCGCACTGGATCCTTAATGATTAAAGAGTCGACGTAGAAAGAGCGCGACATGGCTGCGTGCGTGTGTGTGCAGAGAAGAGTGAAGAAGGACAGCCGTTTCTCGTGTGAAGCCCCTCGGGAGAGACCTAAGGTGCTTATGTTTGATGCTCCAACAAAAGGGAGCCCAGAAGAGGGCTGGCCCTGCAGCGTCACCCACGTCCGCACCCGGCTCCATGGAGTTTGTTCAGAGACCCCGCACCACGTGACGTCTCCCCGGGCCTCCAATCATCATGGACAGTTAGTGTTTTTAGCCCCATTTCACCAGTTCATAGAGATCGCTTTTCGCTACAATTGCCTCTATAAAGCTCTCTCTGTACGTTTTTAATGAGGTTGTTGTCCAGGCACCTGCTTGGCACTGGTTTCATGACTGACATAACGTCTCAAAACAATGTTTTTCCTCCTACAAAAAGATATAATGTTAACATATACACATTTAGTTACAGATGTGATCTGTGCCTTTGTGATAACTTATCATTCATCTCGTGCATGCCTTCTTTATTTTAGCTGGAAGTCAAAAAGTCAACAAAACAAGTTGCGTGTGCACGCGCCTGCGTTTAGAGTAACTACTGGCAACAGTGCAGGCAATTAAAGTATTACAACCTGCGGAGAGCGCGTTCAGGTGGTTATTGGATGGCGATTATGACTCAATTAGAAAGTGTTTATAAAGGGCGCACTGTGCAGGGGTAAACACACAGCTATTTGAGAAATGCCCTAATCCCTCATCTTGTGACAATAATTAGCGAGTTTGATCCCCAGTCGCGGGTCAGTGCTGGGCTCAGCTTCTGCTTTCATCTGCGACCAACGCCTCCAACACTCAGACGAGAAAGTGTGGAAGCCCCAACAAATATGTCTGGCCCCCAGAGCAAAACAGCCAGGAGCAGGCACCTGCACCTCTGATCCGTTCTCGGTCTGTGAATTAGATGGTCTTTAAAATCGAACCAAAGCGCGACAGGAGCGCTCACATCTGTCAATACGCAGACGGTAATTGCTCTAATAAAGTGAATCCGAGACGTTGTTATGGCGCAGAGACCTCTCCTCATATCACACTTGGAGCGACGTATCGGAGCGGAATGATTCATGGCGCGCGCCGTCATCACACCACACTCACTCTGATATTATTTTCCATAATTCTGCACGATAAAAATTTCATTGTCTATGAAGTAATCCCACAAACGAGGTCCTTTATGAGGCTATAATGAGGCATAATTGCCGAGACTAGCGGGGCCACGTGGAAAGGTTTAAGAAGCATTAAGCATTGGGTACTGAGCACTGGCTGTTACCTAGCCATTAGTTTCATAATTCAAGGAGAAAATTAGTCCATTTAAGGGAATGGAAATCCTTTGATTCCTTTTCTTCTGCCCGGTTTGACAGGGGGGTTGCAGTTTTTCCGTCCGCTTGAGTTAAGAAGTCGGTGCAACAAACGGGGCCTCTTGGAGTATCATTCCGGTTTAAATGAAAAAAGAATTTGAGAAATGTATAAATCACCCCCCCCCCCCCCCCATCTGAGCTCAACACAGCTCAGTTCACCCTTTACTTGTTGATGCGTAATTCATCATTCATTGTTTATAAAGAAATAATTGATTAAATGTTTAATAAAAGTATGAAAATAATAGGTTTATACAGATTATTCAATCAGTGCAACCCTTCTGGACTCCCTTGTGAAAAAGAGATTATGACATTTCAGATATAGGTTAAATAAGGCATGAACAGAGGATAGATTTATAATTATTATGATTCCATTAAGCAAGTTATTAGTGCATTGATTAAGCACCTATTTCATAACACAGGGATTTCTCAGTTAAACAGAAAGTTCATTTTCATTTCAGGAAATCCACAGACAAAGGAGGATCTGTTGCTGTCAAAGACAGGAGCATTGAAGATTGGGTCAGAGGTATTAAACACTAATGTAAATGCCATTATCATTTTCTATTAAGAAAAAACATGTTTGAAATCATTCATATTTTTTGAGACCATCATGTTGTTAAACCTGGACCCAACAGGATTTCTACTTTAGGTGTCTCTGGGAAGTTGTTGGAGATGTTTGTGCATGTAGTCTGCTCCTCCCATTGGTAAAACACACACAAAGTTGTAAAAGTGGAGCCCCCGCCTCATTCAGAGCGCATCCCAGGCCATAATATACCATGAAGAAGTCCATTAAGGTATTGTTGAACAAGCGTCATTAACTTGTATCAACGCCTTTTTACAAACCGCCCATTGTTGCCGTGGTCCAGTCTGCGGCCCATCTTGGCCAATACAGTGCATGATTTGGGCCTTTATCAGTCTCCAGGCAACACATTGTGAATACCAAAACTCAAAGGAAGCTCTCTGGTCGTGCACACAGGTCTCAATGGGCCATGGGGGAAATGAACAATGATGTGCGGACAACATAATGCCACGGACTGACTTTCCATTTACAATTATCTGTGTGCACTGAAAAGCAGCTGCAGCGGCTTCTCCACCTCAGAGAAAGGCTGCCGGCAGGAGAGAGCGCTCTGAATGTGGAATCTAATTTATATCACAGTGAATAATTAGGTTTCTATGCAAAAATGAGTTGGAAATAATTGCATCTTAAGATACCATGACAAGTTAGTGGCTTAGACAAAGAAAAGCAGGCCTTTCTAATGTGGCGCAACAGGAGTTTAGAAGCTCTTCCAAGTCACTGCTCCAGATCAATAACAAAAGCCGGGTTTTCTACAGAGCACAGCTGACTTTGAAGCCTATTAAATTATTCACAGCGTGCACATAAGCCTAGTTTATATTTCTATGTATTTTTTATATTGCCTTGTGATGTATGATAATCAGGAGCAGATCTGTTGCAAACACACACTGCACTTGATAAATCTCAAAATGCTTCATCATATCAAAGCTAGAAATGCATTTGTAAGAAAAGTGTGCGTTTCCTCAGATGGAGACTTTGATACACACAAGGGGAATTTAAAATGTTTTTAAATGAAAAAGGATTCAGTCGTGTTGGATGTGACAATATTGTATTTTAACCACATGACATGGATCTGAAATAATAGCTATCTATACTTTAAGCTGTTGTTTGTTGTTATAGCTATTGTAACTAAAGTAAAATCAGTATATGGAAATATTACAATGTTATACGCAAATATTACTTATTAGTCAAGTAAATACATGTGTCTGAATAAAAGTGAAAATATTGTAATATTAATGAAGAAATTAACTACTAACATCTTTTTTTTCTTATATCTGTCACTTAATCTCTGGGTAATTTAATTGGTCATTAATTATCACATGCATGGATGTTTAGCCAAAAGCACGATCGTAGCTGCACAAAAGTGAATCGTGGAGCACGTCTACAGCAGCCAATCAGCTCACAGTTCACAGAGTCATATTCAAATCAGTTAAATTTTTTTAGATTTCAGATTCATTTATTTGCCATGTGCAGTGTAAAAAACCACATTGGAATACATTTGCAAAAAAAGGTACTCTGTGTGCACAAACAGAATAAAGAGCACAATACGATGTAATATAAAATACACATACACTGAACATAAATAAAAAAAGCTGACACTGTGGCACAGAACGACAATATCCAATGCAAGGGGTGAAAACAACAATTAAAGTGCTTTGTTCAGACACCTAACAGCTTGTGGAAAGAAGATGTTAGCATAGCGAGATGTCTTGCATCTCAGCGCCCGATATCTTCTGCCCGAGGGAAGAAGCTGGAACATGGCTTTACTAGGGTGGAAAGAAGAGTCATTGTGATGATTTTAAGAGCTCGGTTTTAGTCTTTTTGTATGGCCCCTAACAACGGTCGTCTCAGAGGACTTCACAAAGTCCTTGATTGGCCAATGAACAAGAAGCAGAATGTCCAATGTCCATAAAGCTATTCATTGTGTCCTTACATGTTCCTGGATCATCACTGTCCTTAGACCCTCCTGCATCTGCAGGGAACAACTCGGAAAAAAAAACACGGACGCTCCCACGGACAAGCGGTCAAAAGGAAGAGCTTTTTATAGTTTTTCCGCGCTGGTCACGTGACTGGGTGGCAAAACAGCATAGAAAGCTACCTGGACGCTAGAGAGTTAGCTAGTATTAGACGTTTGCAGAGAGGTTTTACCAAATCAAATGGTCCATTCTTGTTGTGTGGTTGGTTGTACGGCCCGCTGGGGCCAGATAAAGTTTTTTTTCCTAATTCCTTTGGAAAAGAACAGCGAAGCCGGGGGGGATGAGGGGATAAAAATGCATAAACACTGCACACTTGTTCACTGTGATGATGAATTTTAAACATTGCATTTTGGTTGCTCATCCCAGCGGGCTCCTTTTTCATGTTTACCGTAAGCAACAGCATAAAAGGGCAACCCGCTTTTAATGTGCGGCCACTTTACCGCAACAGCGCACAACCGGGCCCCTTTTCCATGACGAAAATACGAGAAATGGTTTTTCACCACAGATCCTTCTTGCGTGAAGGGTCCTGGGTTTTCTATGAAGTAGAATACTGTAAATGTCCCTGAGTCCCAGTCCCAGCAGATTGGTGCCAAAACAGAGGTGAGTCTGACCAATGTTTTTTCTTGTCATCCCAGGTCTCATATGGGCTTTGGATTTGTTCAGTTCGATCTCATATACTTATTTTTAGCTTGTCTTTATATCTCTTCTGATCTTCTTGCGTTAAAGTGCTTATACTGTATACAGCGCTATTCACCCACTGAGTCTTTTAAAAGAACTCGACGCATCGATGCTTCAGTTTGTGTCTTCTTGCCACTCAGCGAGTGACGCACGCGGGTGTAAACAAAGATCCTCCTATTTAGATCCAGGACTGAGGCTGTATAGAACAGGGGTCCCACTAAATCCATTTACAAAATATATGACCAAAATGTATAGCTTGATAGGTAAACGTCCTCTTGTACTCTCTGATCTTTCTATGGGACAGTGACATTTTCTGGCATTTCCATGTCTTGTTTCATAGATGTGTTTCTGAAAGCTAATTAAGAGTTTTTCTTAGTATCCTTGAACTTCTGACATGACACTGTTCACCACGGATACTAAAGAGTATAAATGTATGTTTTTCACTGACAATCATTTTCATTTGCATCTCTTTTGTTCTCGTCTCAGCAGAGCACCACTCGAGCGGCTCGGTTTGGTTTTTGTAAAGATTTATTACTTCAGACCGTCGTTTTTTTTGTTTAATACAGTTCATATACAAGGCAACTCTAAGTGCTTATCAAAAGAAATAAAAATTAAATTAAATAAAATGTATTAATAATCAAGAATAACTAAACTTAAAACTTTTTTTCAGAAAAGTTCAAAATAGCATTGGTTCAATGACCTGTTATTTGAAAATATTACATACTGTCGCTTTAAGGTCGCTATTTTTATCACAATAAACCAGACAGATAAATTGGAAATAATTTGGAATCAATGTTGAGGCTTATAATAAACAAATGTTACATTATGATTATTATATGTTGTGTCATAGTTTAAATACTACTAAAAACAAAAATCTTAAAAACACGATAAATGATTTATAGTATGTATTACTATACAAAATACAGTAGTTTGAATATATACACAAACTATTTGTGTGTACAAAGAGTTTGTGTGGCCAGACAAAGAGGCAGTGAGGCCACAGTCCTAACACTGAAGTGATGTCTGAGAGGAGAAGTATTTTGCATGAACAAAGCCCTGAGAGCATGTGGATGGCCCATAGACACGTCCAGCACCGGGCGGCTCTAATTACAACCAAAACCTTTCCCAGACACTCATGGCTGGAGTGTGCCCTGCCCACACCCACAGCCGGGGCGCCCCAACAATCACATGCCCTCAGGTCCAACTAACAACTAACATGTCCTGCTACTACACAACGCACAATTAGCCAGTGCAGGATAAGCAGAGGGCGATATACTGATGCTGTGAGTCCCAGAGAAGGCTCTTGGTTGGCACTCATTGTTCCCGGGACAGTGTAACTCTCGTCCTCTGTTGTTTCCGAAAGAATGAACAAATGCCATTACAGAGGCTAACTAAGGACTAACACTGCAAAGCCCTTATTTCAATCATTTCTTGCTTGAGTTGTCAAATAGCGGTGGACTTTTCCTCCCGTTTTGGATGGGGACTCATTACTGTGGTCGCACTGGTGAGTCTGATGATCAAGATGTGGCAGAATTTTTTTTATGAAAACTATTCCAAAGAAGATACATTTTCCGGCCGAGTGTAATATCGATGTATAGAGTTGTATTGTAGTCATGAGTACATGTTAAAATGTCATCAAAAAATATTTTCATATTTTTACAGCGGATTAATTCACTGATTATTTCATAAATTGTATGTAATATAGACAAGTCTGTGTCAATATTGTTCATTACCTTGCCAAGGGGGTATTGTGATCGCCTTCTCTAATTCAAGTTATTATTTATAGCCCTAAATCACAATCAATCAATCTTTATTTGTCGAGCGCCTTTCCTACACAGGGTTACACAAAGCGCTTCACAGTCCACATCACACAAGACACAAATCATCACATAAAACAAACACCAAAATCACCTTTAAAGCAATTAAAATCACAAAGATAATTAAAACCATTAATATATATTTATAGGAAAAGATCAAATCCTTTAGTTGTATGTACAGGCAAACAGAACCCTCTTTAACCTGGATTATAACACTGCCAAAGTATATGCCAGTCTCACATTTTCAGAGAGACAGTTCCCGATTTTAGCTGCACACATCTGAAATGCTGCCTCCCCATGTTACGTCCTGACTCTGGGCACCAGCAGGAGGCCAGTCCCTGTGCTCCTCAGAGTCAGGGCAGGTGCTTATGGCACTAACATGTCAGATTTACTGACATAACAGATTTACTTTGGTGCGAGGCCATGGAGAGACTTGTAACAAGCAGGGCTGTTTTAAAGTCTATTCTCTGAGCCACAGGAAGACAGTGCAGAGAC